TCAGCCTTCCGAGTAGCCGGAATTACAGGCATGCGCTACCACGCCCGGCTGATTTTTTGATTTATTGTAGAGATGAGGTCTCGCTGCCCAGGCGGGTCTCGAACCCGCGGACTCATGCAATCCACTCACCTCAGCCTCCCAAAGGCGCGGGATTACAGGCTGAGCCACCGAGCCCGGCTAAGAACTTTTTTTAGATGAAACTTCCTGCCAATTTACAAGTGACACCATTGGGTAAGTAGTTGCTGTGGTGTAAATGTTTGTGTAACTCAAAATTCCTATTAAAATCCTCACCCTCAAGGGGTGGTATTAGGAGGTGGTGCCTCTGGGAGTAATAGGTCATTATGAGTGGAATTGGTACCTTTATAAAAGAGACCTCAGAGAGCCAGCCAGCCCCTCCTGCCGTGTGAAGACACTGCAAGAAGGTGCCATCTGTGGACCAGGAAGGGAGCCCTCACCAGACACTGAGTCTGCTGGCCACTTGGTCTTGGATCTCATAAGGAATCACTGTCTTGTTGTTTGTAAGCCACCTAGTGTATGCATGTTGTTACAGCAACCTGAACAGACCAAGACAGGAGTTTCCTGCCCCCATGGGAAGCAGAGATGTCCAGGCAACACAGTTCTCACCTTGAGCAGAGCCTGCAGCCACGGGGAATGGAGGAGGTCGTAGAGGAGACACACCCCGTTCACATCCCGGCTGTAGAACAGACTCAGCTCCTGCATCAGGAGCCTTAGGATTTTGGAGAGGCCTGGAGAAGGGAGAGAGCAGAGACATGGCAGCAGGTGGGGTGGAAAGGAAGGTGGTGTCAAGGTAAAAGGCAACTCAGGCAAGTGGGGCTCCTAAGCTATGGAAATGACACTGACTTTAAGACCACAAGACCTGGCCTCCAGTCCTGGTTCAACACTTGACTACACAAACTTCAGAAAGTCACGTAACTCTCTGAAGCCCAGCTTCCTTGTGGCTGTGTAAGAATGAGCTAGGTCTCTCATTGTGTTGATCATAATAGACAGATACAGGATGCCATGAGAGTAACATGGCTGCTTTCCCCTACCTTTTCGTCTAACAGGCCTGTGGTTTATCCCCAAATTCTAGTTGTTCTCTGGATCCTCTTTCTTTAATCCAAACACAGAAGTATTTGTTTTCACCCTTTCCAAAAGCTATTATTTAAAAACTTTAAATCCCAATAGGCTGTTTAATACAAATCTCAGGACCAGGCATGGTGGCTCACACCTGTAGTCCCAGCACTTTGAGAGGCCGAGGTGGGAGGATTACTTGAGCTCAGGAGTTTGAGATCAGCCTGGGCAACATAGCCAGGCCTTGTCTCTAGAGAAACTAAACTCCCTCCCCCTCCAAAAAAAAAAACCTCAGTAGTTTCCTAATTAAAGGAACTAAATAGATTTTAGTGAATGCTTGATTTTTTTTTTGCCATGTTTCATAGTGTTGCAGTGATATTTAGAATTAGTGATATTTAGAATATGAACAAGTTTAAAAAGTCTAAGTTTTACATAAAACATTGTGGGGAGGGAGAACAAAGAATGTTCTGAGCCCACTGTGTCAATTTATTTACTCACTGTCTTGAAATTTGCTCTTAAATTTATCATTTGTAGTTATAGTCATGCAATCAAAAGTGTACAAGTTCAACTGGGCACAGTGGCTCACACTTGTAATCCCAGCACTTTGGGAGGCTGAGACAGGAGGATTGCTTAAGCTCAGGAGTTCAAGACCAGCCTAGGCAGCATAGCAAGACCTGGTCTCTACAAATAATAAAAAAATTAGCTGTGCATAGTGGTGCATGCCTATAGTTCCAGCTACTTGGGAGGCAGAGGTGGGAGGATCATTTGAGTCCAGAAGGTCAAGGCTGCAGGGAGCTGTGATCACACCACTGCACTCCTGCCTGGGTGACAGAGTGAGACCCTGACTCAAAAAAGAAGAAGAAGGAGAGAGAAAGAGAGAGATGGAGGGAGGGATGAAAAGAATGGAAGGAAGGAAGGAAGAGAGAGAGAGAGAGAGAGAAAGAGAAAAAAGAAAGAAAGAAAGAAAGAAAAAGAGAAAGAAAGAAAGAAAGAAAGAAAGAAAGAAAGAAAGAAAGAAAGAAAGAAAGAAAGAAAGAAAGAAAGAAAAAGAAAGAAAGCAAGCCTATGGGAATCTGCCTAGTTCCTGCAGTCCCACATCTAGTTATATTGTAAGACCTTTCTGTCTAGAGCGAGAACCCCAGCGGCACATACCATTCTCCGGACTGGTGCTCGTGGAGGGTTTTGAGTCCTTGTCTGGTGGATCTTCTCCTCTGTCTGACTGTATCATCCCTGCTGCCCAGGCTTCCAAAGAGAGCTCAGGACCAGGAACCAGATCAAGAAGCGGCACGCAGCACCCTGGGTCACACTGGCCACCAACCCTGGAATATATTTTCAACAGTGTTGACTGAGCACACCATGCCCTGGGCACTACCCTGGGATCCGCGTTGGATAAAACAGCCTTCCCAGGTCCTACTCTTTGAAGTCACCATCACCAGCTGTGTGAACAGGAAAGCCACTCTTTCATAAAATGCTTCCCTACCCCCTTGTTTTTGAACAAGATACAAATGATGTTCTGTTTATTTTTGTGTTTTGTTTTGGTTTTTTTGAGTTGGAGTCTCACTCTGTCGCCCCGACTGGAGTGCAGTGGCCGCTCCCGGCCACCGCAGCCTCGACCTGCTGGGCTCCGGCGATCCTTCCGCCTCAGCATTCCGAGTAGCCGGAATTACAGGCATGTGCTACCACACCCGGCTGATTTTTTGATTTATTGTAGAGATGAGGTCTCGCTGCCCAGGCGGGTCTCGAACCCGCGGGCTCAGGCAATCCTCACCTCAGCCTCCCAAAGACGCGGGATTACAGGCTGAGCCACCGAGCCCGGCCTGTTTATTTTTGTTCCAGCTCTTTGCCCAGTAGGTTTCACCCATCCCTAGAGCTCAGAGGAAACTTCCCTGACCTGACTCCCCTCAGGAATCCTCCCCCACCCCGTCCCCTTTGCACACTATAGCTTTCCACAGAGGAACCAGCTAATCTCGATTCCTAGTGTTATGGGTTATGACTGAGGCACATCCTCTTTTTCTGAGTCAGGGTCTCACTTTGTCGCCCAGGCTATAGTACGGTGATGTGATCATAGCTTACCGCAGCCTTGACCTCCTGGGTTCAAGCAATACTTCCATCTCAGCGTCCGGAGCAGCTAAGACTACAGACGTGTGCCACTGTGCCTAGTTAATTTTTAAGTTTTTTATTTGTGGAGATGAAGTCACTATGTTGCCCAGGCTGATCTGAAACTCCTGTGCTCAAGCAATCCTTCTGCCTCAGTTTCCCCAAGTGCTGGGACTACAGGTGTGAGCCACTGCGTCCAGCATCTGAGGTGCATTCTTAGAATTTAGAAGCAACATAATAGTGATTTTTTTTTCTAACTAGTCCTCCTGGCTCAACCCCAAAGTCTGTCAGATTCTAGGCAGTGGTTTTTAACCCTGTCTGAGTCACCACCAGTTTTTAACAATTAATTTGAAAACATATTTTTATGTTTATTTTTGATATGACTTTAGGTAGGTTTATTTATTTATTTTGAATTGGAGACTCACTCTGTCGCCTAGGCTGGAGTACAGTGGCACAATTATGGCTGATACCACAGCCTCAACCTCCTGGCTTAGGCAATCTTTCCACCTCAGCCTCCCAAGTAGCTGAGACTACAGACATGTGCCACCATAAATGTCAACTTGGTTTCATTGCATTGCACTTGAGATGAGGTCTCAAGATGGCAGCTGGAGCTCCAGCCATCATGTTGACATATTAGCCGGCGGGATGGGGGAAGGGATTATGAGGATGAGGGCAAAGGACAAATGCCCACTGCCCTTAGGAAGCTTTCAGGAGCTGCCCTACACAATGAGAAATCACCTTATGCCCTGTATAACTTTCAGATGTCCCACTAACTTCAAAGTCACTGAAAACAACCAAATTATAATTATCTGGACTTTACATATAATCGCAAAATATTTTGCATAGGTTTAATGCACGATGAAGTTGATGGAATGCTACCACCATAAATGAGGAATGCATTTGTTTTGCTTTGAATTGATCGCCAATTCAGAAAATCATGTCATTTGGGTTAGTGTTGTTTGTGGTATTTAGGGAATCACTGCAATACGTCCCTACAACAGACTATATCAGTCTCTGCACTCACAGCTGCTGCGTTCCTGGTAGATTTTGTTATAGGTTCACACATGTGTTAGTTCATTATATCTTTTGGTATAATGAGGTATCATATTTACATGTTAAATTATACAATGTCTTATTATCAACTATGTTTCTTTAATTTGTCCTTTTTATTATTACTGGCATTACGTGGATTTTTTTTTTTTTTTTTTTTTTTTG